GACTGCCCGTGTCTCTTCCTCAGCCGCTGGGGTTTGGAGACCCGCAGCCTTTGGCTAACAGCCTTTGGTGAGAAGGTGCATGACGGCCATGCCACATGAGCACTTGTTATTAAAAAAACCCAATTTAGTCATAAATTTTAACATGTTGCTGCAAATGACGGCAAAATGTGTTTCTAAGCACGGTCATCAATTTAAAAGTGTGCGACAATGTCTTAAACCTTCTGGAAAGCTCTATTTCTCCCCCCCCCCCACACACATATCTGTTGCTTTATTTATAAAAATAAAACTTGGGCTTTATGCACATTTTTACAAGTAGACCTTTGATTCACTGTAAAATTACTACAAACATGTCTCCTTTGTACAAATAGAAATTGCTTATCTATGTTTTTCTTATTTCAAAATGCTGTAGTCAACAGTTTTGAACCTCTTTTCTTGTGCGAGTAATTCTCTGTGGTGGACAGGAACTGACCTATGGTTAATGGTGTGACTTGTGCTCAACAAACAAACGTCTGGAGACACTTCTGGTGTCCTACTGTTACTGGCATCCAGTGACTGGATGTGGGGCAGCTGCTGCATCCTGCAGTGCCGCCCTTCAGTACGTGGGCAAGGCTCCCCCAGCCCTTCCACCTGTAAACCAGGATGCCCAGAGTGCTGAGCTTGCAAACCCAGCTCTTAGAGAAACGCTGTCTGAAACCTCACTAGGTCTTGCAGATTCTGCCCGATGGCATTGCTCGTTTGGATGGCTTGTATGTCACTGACGTAGATGGGTCTTTAACCGGCTGTAATCAGGACCTGTCTTCTTCCCTCCAGGCGGGGTGTGCACGGGATGTTCCCCCTCCATCTCGCAGCCCTGAGTGGGTTTTCAGATTGCTGCAGAAAACTTCTCTCTTCAGGTACGTGGGACTCTCCAGGCTGGTTGTCTGTCGTCTCTCATCCTCAGCATTTGAAGACCATCTCTTTATCTAGCTTTTCCCAGTGTTCACAGATGTGTCCAAGGTGTGTTGTTCATTCGCCCCTTGAGAAAGTATTAACTTACTTTTGTGCATGTCAAGACTCAGCTGTCGCTTCAGTTCTAGGCAGGTTTCCTTTGTTAGTCCAGGAACGTGGTATGGATTAGTTCTAGAACAGTTCTGTACTTTGGATAATGATGGTCTTCCCCCTTGCCCAGGAGGAGTGGGATGGACAGCTTCATTGGGGTGTACTAGACATAACCCGAATTTAAGTAGTATTCACAGAAGTAGGTTTTGGAACCCGCTTCCCAGGAAGCCCCTCCAGTACTCACTTTCCATCACTCTCACCAGCCCTAAGCATCCTCTAAGCGACAGTCCTGCCTGGACATTGCCCACGAGGGGCCTGGGCCATGTTATAGTCTAGGAGCGCAGTGTTTTCAAACGGCACCGTGTTCTGGCTTGTCGCTTGTGTCTCTATTACGGAGTAATACCCCTTTGTATCCCATGCCTTTTTAAACAAGTGCTCTAGCACCTTTTCTAGAGTGTTTCTTGAGCACTACACTTATTATAATGGTATTACTGATTTCTCTTCACTGCTTGTCTACGTTTTCATTATTCATGGTTTTGTTGAGGATTGGGACAGGTGCTCCCTGCCTTAACACTGTAATATGCATTCCCATCAAACCTATTCCTTTTTGTAGGATTTGACGTAGATTCCCCAGATGACTTTGGCAGGACCTGTCTACACGCAGCGGCAGCTGGAGGGTAGGTTAAAGCATCTTTACTTCCTTTTAGAAAGGTCACTGGTAAAGGGAAAGACCATGGACAGCACAATATTCAGGAGCCGCCACGAGTTCACTTGGCAGTTATGGTGTTCGTTGTAACTTAGCATGTGAATCCAGGTTTGCAAACACCAATACTCATGTAATATACTCTCCCACCGTGTTAATGTAGAGTGCATCCTGTTAGCCACTACTGCATTCAGCTGGAAACACCTTGATCATGATTTGAACCTACAAGTTGCATTAAAAAATCACTGACAATACATATTTTTAACTCTGTCTTTCCTGAATAGAAATTTGGAGTGCCTAAACCTTCTGCTGAATACTGGTGCAGACTTCAACAAAAAGGACAAATTTGGGAGGTAGGCTATAATCCAGTTTTTCAATAGAGCCTGGTGATTTCTGTTGACTTTATGCCTTGCGTGGCCCTCAGCTGCCTTCTGAGAGTAAACCCAACAGTTCGGTGGTGTCTGCATTGTAATCACCATGTATTGAAAGACCCACGGTAACATCTGACTATTCCTTGTGACACTTGCACCCACACTTGCAGCCTAGGCGAGCTGCCAAACCCTGTTCTCATGCGTGTGGGTGTGGGACTAGAAACCCCGTAGCACCACAGCACTGAGGTTTAATAGGACAGTTCTCCTTTCCCCAAATTATTCCTTCCACCAAATTACCTCTCCCACCCATATGTGTATACTGAGCCCTGGAGAAGAGGGAGGAAGCAAGTTACAGATACGTAAATGTACTCTCCTTCCTCGCCTATACCCCCCAACACTCATCTGCGGGAATCAGGGAAGGCCACTGGGAAGTCCCAGTCACTCGCTTGTCCAGGACGTGCTGTCACTGTTCAGACCTAAGCCCCATTGCTGGTAGCATTTGGGGACTGATGGTCTGCTTAGTTACTTAGCATCTGACAGGAGAGTGCCTGAGAACTGCTCAAGAAAGGCTTGAGAGCAGCTTGACTTGACTGTGGCAACCTGAGCAAAGTGTGAGTGCCAGAGGAAGGTGCCCGTCCCCGAAACAGTGTGCATGTGTGTGCCTAGGTAGGACATGCTGCCCCCACAGTTGCTGTAAGGAACAGAGCCCTCTGACAGAGGGAAGGGCTAACAGGACCTCTGTGTTGAGCTTGGGATAGGATATAGCTGACTTGCTTTGATAACTATATGCTCATCCACTTGTGGTAGTTAATCTGTAGCAGTTGATAATACAAATAGCAAAATAGTCTATACTACAGAGCAAGCTTCCAAACATATGCTGAGTTCAGAGGCATGGAGATGAATCAAGGTTATTTATAAATTTTTTTTTTTGTTCTCTAGTATTCTCTCATAAGGCAGAATCCTTGTTACTTTACTAGATAAATATTTTAGAAAAAATTTTCCATGAAAACAACTGAAATTTGTTCTTTTCCTCCAATTTAATGATAAACCATGATATCACCATAGTTTGATACTCTAAAGACAGAAACGTCTATGTATTTAGGAACATTCCATTTCACAGAAGTATAACCGTGAAGAAATCAGTGAGACAAGTATTGAGGTTTTTTTAGTTCAATAAATACTCAGCTCCTTGGAATAGAGAGCAGGTTTCAAAACGTGTCCATTAGCTGATGAAAACTGGTATTCCTGGTCACCTCTGTCAGCCGGTTAATAGCTAAGCATTCGTTTCAATGCTTCTGTTTTTTTCTTACTCCCTATTCTTGTGCTGACACATAAACAAAGGCTGCCTTCCTGGAATACAGACTCGTTGGACGACTTGTGTTAGCACATGAGAAACTTTGTTAAATGACCGCATTGCTGAGCAAAGTACGAGGGTATCATCGACTCACAGGATGAAATCCTTGAACTGTATCTCCACCTTGCTTGCTTTACATACAAGCTCTCAGCACCCCTCCTTTCCCCTGGTTCTCTGTCCAGCCACACAGAAGACGTACTGTGGGGTAGAAGTCCCTCCAAAGGGCAGTGTGCAGAGCGTGGCTGTGACCGGGTGGTGTAACGGGCGAATGGACTCTTCTTTCCCCATCTAAGTCTCTCGCTTCTGGGTTTTTTTCCCCTTGGACACACCAGATCCCCACTGCACTACGCCGCTGCCAACTGCAATTACCAGTGCCTGTTTGCGCTTGTGGGGTCCGGGGCAAGTGTGAACGACCTCGATGAACGAGGCTGCACCCCTCTGCACTACGCAGCTACGTCAGACACAGACGGCAAGTGAGTGTGGGGGCCGAGGGCAAGGGCGCTACTTCTACAAAAACCCGTCTTCATTCAGGACTTTACTCGTCCCCAGTTTATCCACCTTCACACATCCCTTCATTCACATGGTGTTTCATACGATCACTGTTTTATAAAGTCATCGATCTGTGCCCACTCTCACCCCACCTTTTCCGTTCCATCTTGGATCTTCCCTGATTCCTTCACCTCCACCGTTACACACGTTCCCCTGGAATCTTGCTTATGCACTTCTCCGAGAACACCGAATGCCGGTCCTTCCTTGCCTGTTTGACCTTTTCACTGCTGTTTGTTGGGCTTCCTGGTGGCCGGACATACGCCCTGTTGTCTGGAGGAAGTAGTTACACTGCCAGCATTGTGCCTTCTCCATCACTGAGCGTTCATCTTGTCAGGCACTGTCAGAACAGCCAGCTGCTCCGTGGGGAGAGGTGGCGTCTCCTCCCTTTCCATGTACAGCCTCTGAAACCCAAACGAGGGTCACTCATGGGTCAGCTCCTACTCCATGGCAGTGAGTGAGTGAGTGTAAGGAAAATTGTCAGTTCTTACTGTCTTTGTTATGTCATGGACTAAAATCCAGAATTTGGAGAGGGACGTCATGCTTGGGAGGGTGGAGGGACAGCGCAGGAGAGGAAGACCCTCGGTGAGATGGATTGATTCAGGAACTGGGGTACTGGGAGTAGGTTTGTCAGAGACAGTGAGATTGGCAAGGGATAGAGCAGGGCTTAGGGTCACTATGAATGGTAGGCAGCTTGAACAGCCCATAACAACAACATGCTGTTATCATATGTAGGTGCCTGGAATACTTACTAAGAAATGATGCAAATCCAGGGATCCGAGACAAGCAAGGATACAACGCAGTTCACTATTCTGCTGCCTATGGTCACCGCCTGTGTCTTCAGCTGGTAAGGAACCGGGACTGTGCAGAAGGCTTTGGGTGAGAGAAGCAGTTGGCATTGGTCTGTGTGGGAGAGGTGTTCGCTGCACCAGCTGTAGTCGGGGGCTGTGGCCATGGGATACTCACTGCTAGTGTGGTTTCCAGGACTGAGCGTGGTGATGTCTGGGTGTAAGGGGTGCACCCCAGAACAGTGCCTGGACAGGGCCTGGTCGCTGTGAGGGGTGCACACCCCAGTACGGGGCCTGGTCACTGTGAGGAGTCCTCACCCCAGCACAGAGCGTGGTGATGCTGTCACTGTGACGGGTGCACGTAGTATCCTAGGTGGCTTGCCTTAGGGCATGTGCTGAAGGCTGGCAGAGATCCTCTTAGAATTTCTTTCCCTCAGTTAAGTCAGGGACAGGGTACCTGCCTTACTGTGTGTTGCGGGGATTAAACGTTTTCGGTAGCCCCGCCCTGTCAAGATCTGGACAGAGGCTGTACACACCATGTTTGCCGTCTGTTCATCTGTATCTCGGTTACATTTTGCTAGTTGCTGTAATAATTCCTACTTTTATAATGCTGTTGCCCACTTAATAGACTGCAGGCTAGTGGGAATACAGCTTTACGCTTGGCAGGAAATCACACAGCTCCTGTGACTCGTGTAGTGTGGTATTTGCTTTATGACGATGTTCTAGCCCAAACCCATACTATCTCCAGTCTGTGTGCACCAGATCACTCACAAAAGTCACATAAAACCATCTTCCGAGAAATGGGGTACTTATAGCGCTGGTGACAAGAAGCAGCACTGTCACCTTGAAGGCACAGTCCAGGCCACCAGCACTCTGAAGAAGATGGGCGAGCTCCTGTAGGATTTACTTCCTCTGATTACTCAGCCGAGGGTCAGCCGGGTCGGTTCTGACTATACGGTACACAACGACGGCAGCCTGTTAGAGTCATGCTTTCCTGAGTCACATTTCCCTTTCCTTCACGTAGAAAGGTGACGGTACACAACAACGGCCTTTTAAATTCATACTTCCCAGAGATGGTCCCTTTCCATAGATAGAAAGGTGACGTTCCAATCCCAGAAGAAGGCTGCTCCCAGGCTCCCTGCACATGGCCTCTCACCTGGAGCTGGGGTTTCTCTTCCTACCTCTGTGCTCCAGCCTTCTGTGAGAAGGCACTGCCCCTCTGAAAAGAAGCTCCTCCCCCATGTATTTCTGGGGTCTGAGAGGCTCAGTTACTTCACAGCCTCGCCTCATAAGGAGGACTGTGCTTTTGAGAAAGAAATTTCAGCTGTAGTCTTGTTCTTGAATATACACAGATTTGCTCCACTTTGCCAAAGGAAAATTAAAAAAAAGGGGGTCAATTAAAAGACACTTAGGTATGTCACAGGCTTCAGGTTAAATTGTCCCTTTCTTAGATTTACTTTATAAATTACAGTAAACTCTTCCGTTCAAGGAGAAATAAAATGTAAGATTGGATATTAAAATATAGAAAGAATAAGTTCACCTTTTCTTTCTTATTCGGAACTCTCATACAGATCAACAGATTTTTTCCCTTGGGTGTTAACGGTGACTTCAGACTAGGCCTCCTAGTTCTGTGCGTGCAGATCGTGGTCTGTTCTGCCTCACACCTGAGTTTGAAAAGGCCGGGGGGTTTGTAGCAGACGCCGTTAAGGAGTAGAGTTTCAGAATCCTGCAGCTAGCATTTTGCTCATTGGTTTATAATAGCATTTCTCTGTGTTTTCTTTACAACAACATTTCTGTTTGTTTTCTTTCAGATTGCAAGTGAAACTCCTTTAGATGTTGTAAGTAGCTATCCTCTTTTTTTCTACCTTCAGAATAAGCAGTGTTGTTAAATGTCTTCTCCCGTGTGGGAGACCCAAGTCCTGTCGCTCTGGTCAGGGTGGCGTTCTCCTAATTGGCCAGCTGCTCAGTCACCTCTGATTATCTAGAAACCCTGGCTTGAGCTGAAGCTGTTTTTATCTAGCAAAGATGTGGCAGAAATGTTGGCTGAGGGAGAGACGTTGCTTACGTGATGACGGTTACATAGCCTTCCTCCACCTCGGGTCTCTGGGCCTTACCGTGCTGTGAGGACGCTCCTGTCGTGGAAGCTCGCCGAGTTAGATGGTGTAATGACCTTAAATACTCAGTTATCAATTATACCATCAAGTGAATTTGAACTTGGGGAAGAGGAGTGGCTGATACCGTGTTGCCTGCAGGCACCTGTCTCTGCGTGAGTTTGTGCTCACGAGGGAGGATGCCTAGAACACCCAGCACTCAGGACAGCTGGTGTCTGAGCTGTGCGTGTGGGAACTGCTCAGCCGGTGGGTGTTTTTCCAGTATCTTTACAATGTTGTTGTTGTTGATTGCCTTCCAGTCAAGCACAACTCATAGTGGTCCTATGAACAAGAGGCCTGAAGCCTTTCTGTAACTGTCAGCATTTATCAAAGTTCACAGAGCTTCCAGAGGCGTGTTGTTTAGGAAGTGGATGTCACTCCTGCTTCCAGATACTTGCATTAGCAACAGCAAAAGAAAGTTGAAGATGAAAAATTACTTTTCCCTGCACTTTAAAAACCTCTTTCTTTTCTAGTTAATGGAGACGTCGGGGACAGACATGCTGAATGACTCAGACAACCGAGCGACAATAAGCCCTTTGCACTTGGCTGTGAGTATGTCCTTCACTGCCAGCAGGCTGGCTCACGTGCAGACCAGTATCTGTGTTGCTAACAGAGTAGTACCCTGAACCAGTAATAACTCACGTGATAATGGCCGTGCAATGAAAAAGTAACTTTCCTGTTAGAGTTCTTGTAGTAACTGCCCTCCTTGACAAGGTTTGATTTCTTTTTAAATGCTGCTCCTTGGGGTCCCCCAAACCTCCTAGAAACTTAACACTGGCAGAAGATTGTTAAATACTCTGTCCTCGCAGCCTGAATGGCTTCTGACTCACTGAGGATCTGTAAGCACTGCCATTTCTGTGACTGTCACTACATGTCTGCTCTGTGATCTTAGGACTCCTGGTGTGTGCTTTCCAGTCCTTCGATTGTGTCACTGAATGTGGTTGTACAGTTTGTCATGTTCCTTTCAACTTAAGGTTCCTCTGAATTTGTCAGTGGAATGCGAGTTGCTAGAGCAGGAAGGTTACAGGAGAGGCCAGCAGTTCCTTCATTCCACTCTGAGGATGAATTGCCTTGTAAAAATCTCCAGTTGAGCCTAGTTGGTGCTGGAGGAGTTCATTTTGAAGCTCAGAATAGTACAGTTACAGGGTGGGGTCACTGAGCATAGGGAGGTGTGGGTGCAAGTGGTCAGCAAGAAGCCGGAAGCTTGCTGGCTCTGAATTTGAGAGCCCCTTTGTGGGAGAAACACGTGGCCATCTCTATCTCCAGAGATCTCTGGCTTAGAAGCTGGAGGGAAGCTCTCTGTCCTATAGGTTTGATGTGTTGGAATTGACAGTAGTTGTGGTTTGTTTGCAGTTATACAGAGGTTTAAGAATACTGGGTTTTGATTTGAATCTCTCTTAGAGAGATACCATCTCACCCGAGTCAGAATAACAAAATTTAGCAGAACAGCAGGCAGCAAATGCTGGCGAGGTTGTGGAGAAACTGGAACCCTTATTCACTGTTGGTGGAAGTGTAAAATGGTGCAGCCACTGTGGAAGGCAGTAAGGAGCTTTCTCAAAAAGTTGCAAAAAAAAAATAGAGATACCATTCGACCCAGCAATTCCATTACTGGGAATATATCCCAAAGAGACCATAACTGACATCCAAGCAGATATATGCACACCTATGTTTATAGCAGCTTTGTTCACAATAGCAAGGAGTTGGAAACAGCCTAAGTGCCCATCAACAAATGAATGGATAGAGAAGCTGTAGTATATTCACACAATGCAATACTACGCTGCATTGAAAAACAAGGAACTCATGCAATATTACTCAAAACAGGTGACCCTGGAGGGCATTATGCTGAGTGAAGTATCTCAGTCACAAAAGGACAAATACTGCATGGTGCCACTGTTGTAAAGCAGGACTGACATCAGGGTTGGTAGGAGACTGAGAAAGATGGGTTCTGTAATGTATACTGCATTGAAACAGATGGGGGAGAAAACTGTTTAAAAGGGTTATGTGATTAGGTATTTTTGTCATGACAGGAGTCCAGAGCGAAGGCTGCATAGTGGAGTGGACCTGGGGGAGGGATTGTAAAACAATGAAAGAATTTCTCTTTTACTTTTCCAAGAGGGTAGTGTACTACGAGGGAGGATTGGGAAGGGAGAAAAGTGCAACAGTGAATGAATGGAAATCCAAAGCCTCTGTAAATTTTCATTAAAATTAATAATAAATTTAAAAAAAAATGAAAGAAAAAAGAATACTGGGTTAAGTTAATGCAAACAGATAAGTACTCTGTTAGTAGCTGAAAGGCTGGTGGTTCGAGCCCTTGTCCACCCAAGGCTGGGTGCTGTGCTTCTGTCCTGACCTGAAGGACTGACTCACAGCAGCCCTGTGGATGCGGAACCCTGTGCCGTCCTGTGATGCACGTTGTTACTATCACGTTGGCTCTGCCTTTTACCTTGGATTCTCCTTGCAGACACTTCTGACGGAGCTTCATTTGCTTTTCTGCTGCCACCCGACCTCCTTTCTTCCCACTCTCTACCTTAGTGGAAATAACTGAGAAAGCGCACTGAGGCTTCTCGCTTCCTCTCAGCCTGGAGGAGGTCGTCCTTTTATTACTGGTGCTGAGAAATGGGGGTGAGCAGGGGAGCAGGCAGTTGTTGGGTCAGTGCCATCACCCTCACCATCATTAGGTCGATGGTGGCAGCGGCCAGGAGCTCTGACGTCACAGCACTCCTTTCTGCTCTTTATCTTCGTTGTTGTCCTGTTTGTCACCGTCATGGTCTTGTGTCTGTACCATGTTGTTGTTCCTGTGTAGCGTTGAGTCGCCTGCAGCCATAGTGACCCTGTGTAAAACAGCCCCGAAGCCTGCGCTGTCCTGAGCCAGCCTCCCTGAGGCCGACACACCTACCCCCATTGCCCCAGTTACTGTGTCAGTCCACCTCATCTGGGGGCTTCCTCTCCTGCACTGTCCCTCCACCTTTCCGAGCATGATGTCCTTCTCCAAGGACCAGTCCCTTCTGGCCACGTGCCCAAATTATATAGATGTGTGTATTATCACAGATATAAAGCATATATTGTTGTGTGTGCCAGCAGAACTGACTCATAGCTGACCCACCAGCCTTTTTTCAGACACAGTACATCACGTAGGAGGAGATTGCCCATCTTTCTCTCAGGGAGCATCTGGTGGATTTGAACCGCGTACTTTGGGGATTGCAGCACAGAATCTTACTAAGCTATCAGACCCCTCTCTATTGCTCCTTCTCCGTACAGTATGTTTCTCACATTTTTTTCTTTAGTACCATAATCTCGTTAATATGATGTTGAGTAACAAAATTAGAGGTGACCCTCAAACAGTTGAGTTGGCTGAGGTAGGGTCACCTGCGTCCTGCATGGAAACATCAAGGGTGGGTCCGTAGACCTGGGCACTTCGTCTCCTTCTGGTGCTCTCAGCCATTTTCCACAGGACATGGCTCCACGGCTCTCTGATGGAGTGTGAAGCCCTCCTCTGACCCAGGTTATCGTTTTCCCGCCCCAGACTAGAACCCAGTGAGAGCTCAGCTACAGTAGAAGTGTGCAGACTTTTCCATTTACAGTGTGATCTGTTCGTGTGGTCATCTGTCTGGTAAACAGCTGGTCAGTCTTTGAGCTGCACATGGGTGGTTTGTGGCAGATCTGTGGGCAGCCTCAGTGTGGGGATTTGTCTTTTGTCTGGATACGGTCGTGAGACGCTTGGAGCACTACGTGTCAGTGAGCTGTGCTGCCCTTTGGATCCAGCGTTTGCATCTTCCCGACTCCAGGTCCTCACGAGGAAGGTGGGCGGTAAACTGGTGCCCTTGGAAGCCCAGTGGGGGTTCCGTATGGATCGGAACAGACTTGACTGTCCCGCGATGTCAGGGAGTGGATGCCATGCCCGCATGCCGGCTACCACCGGCAGTCTCCTCGTGTAAACATGCACCCTTGGAAGCCCAGTGGGGGTTCCCTGTGGGGCAGAACTGATTCCAGATGGCAGTGGGCTTGGCTGTGTTTTTACGGAGCGGATGTGGATGTTTTAATTCAAGAAGACTTGAATATGGTTTCTTTCTTGGAACTTAGAGAAGCAAATATAGTGAAAGTTCACCCCACATCCTTTGGGGCATATTGCTAGGAGGGGCCAGTCCTTGGGAAAAGACATCATGCCTGGAAAGGTGGAAGGTCAGCAAGAAAGAGGAAGACCCCTAACAAGACGGATCAACACAGTGACTGAAGCAGTGCATTTGAGTCTCTCAGGCATGGTGAGGATGGCACAGGACGGGACAAGGATCAGATGCGTTTCTCCTCAGGTCACAGTAATTCCTAGTTGCATCAACAGCACCTAGTAACAACATCGCCTACTGTATTGAAGTCCCAGTTCAGAAATGTTTTATTCTATCCAATAGTAATAATGTGAAGATACATTGACTTCCTTTATTCTTTGTAACTTATTTGGTAAGCCATGCTGGGTACCACCTTCAGGTTGCCTCTGTTTGTTTTCTAGGCTTACCACGGTCACCATCAAGCACTGGAAGTGTTGGTGCAGTCCCTGTTAGATCTCGACGTGCGAAACAACAGTGGGAGAACACCATTGGATCTGGCTGCATTCAAGGGCCACGTTGAATGTGTGGATGTCCTCATTAACCAGGGAGCCTCAATCTTAGTGAAAGATTACATTTTAAAGAGAACACCCATCCATGCTGCAGGTACGCCATGCTCTCTGCTGGGCTCAACACTGTCCTCTTAATGTGTTTCTCTGTCTCTGTGCACCCAGCCTCCTGCCAGTTTCTGAAATAACAACTCCTGGTAATTGTCCTAGCATTTTGTTGACTTGAAATCGTAACGCTCTACTATATTATTATTATTATTATTATTATTATTATTATTATTATTATTACTGTAGAATTACTTAATCAACAAAATGATACTGTATTTTTTACTTTCTTCAGTCAGCAGTTGGTGTATGTTGTGGCTTGTTGTCTGTGTTATACAAGATCTCAGAGCCCCCACATTACTGACCACATCTGTCCCAATATACTTGGGGGGAGGGTGTGTGAGGAGCGCCCGCCCTGTCACAGGCTGGCTGTGGTGACACAGACCCATAGTGACTCCTTTGGGATGAATTCTGAGCGAGGGAAGTGAGCGGTAAGCTGTTTTCTTCATCAATGATGGAGATTTCTGGAACTTAGGAGTCCTCACCAAGCGCTTTGCTCCCCCCGTCAGGCTGCCTTGGTGCGGTTAGACTCATTGAGCGGTGGTAGTTTTTACAGTGATCTCAGAGCACATTTGACGGGGTCCTGGATTGTCTTTCTGGGCTTACTGTTGCACCAGGGCAGCCTCTTGGAAACCGCATGCTCCTTGAGAGCTCAGAGAGAAGTCTTTCAATAGCAGATTCCTGAATGTCTTGGTAGAAATGATCATGTGGTACACTGTGGCTCAGAGATCACTCTTTTCAATAGTAGATGAATAACATCTTCATGTCAACTGTTACATAGTATGCTTATGGAGCTCTGGTGGCCTAGTCCTGAGAAGCTGTGCTGCCATCCCAAAGACAGGTGGTTCGAATCCACCAGCTGCTCTACAGGAGCATGGATAGGCAGTCTCCTCTTCTGCGATTTGCAGCCTCTGAAAACCCGCTGGAGGGTCAGCTGTGAGTCAATTCTGACTCGACTCTGCGGCACACACCCACATCGTATGATGAAGAGTTCAAAATGCTGTCATGGACTATTGAATCAATCTGAAAAAGTGAAGTTACTTACCAGTCTCAACTCAGAAACTAATATAGTTAAGCACAGATGCTTTGCAGAACTCAGCAAGCCTTTCCAAGAGGGTTTGGTGCTCTTCTAGAATACGCACAGCCTGAATGTACCAGCTCCCAGTTTGCACATAGTTCACCAGCACTGGTGACATTCCTCACCGTGGACAGCCAGTCTTAGCCACCTTCCTGGACTGTTCTCACAGGAACATAACTCAGGGCTCCCCCAAGTTCCTGTCTAATCATCTTAGTTATTGTTGCAGTGTGATCCAGCATAGAGTCTTCTAGGGAGCTCTTGTACCCACTGGTAAGGAGCTGCATTGCCATCCCAGGGGCACGTGGTGTGAACCCACCAGCTCCTCCATGGAAGAAAGATGGGCGTTCTCCTCCCATGCCATTTACAGCCTCTGAAAACCCTCTGCAGGGTCAGCTCTGACTTGAAGGTACATACAGCAATGACCTAGATCATTCTTAATAAAGTACAGTGCAGTAGGCATGCATTCTTTATTACCAAAGCTAAACTCTTTGCTTAAAGACCACTTTTGAGGCTGAGTGTTTGCCCTCCTGACAGATGAATACTAAGACGTGGCTAAGCAGTGCCATCCAGTCCAGCATCAACCATATGCCCTGGAGAAACTGTACCGATTTAGTAGATACAAGCCTGGCTTCTCATTTTCCAGTCTGCTAAGTTTTATTCTAGTGCTCAAAAAGTCACTGAGATCTTTCTGGAAACTGACAGGCATTTCCCCAAATATTTAGCATTTAGATGACAGAAAAGTTAGCGCTTGCTGCTGTGTAAGTGAGTAGATAAAATACTCAGAGTAACAGCAATCCAAGGTAGAACCTCCTGGAGCCGTGCTCAGTAGCCCCGGCCGCCACTGGTTACTGAGCTGAGCTGTTTGAGTTGCTGCTAGCGTGTCGGGTGCAGGGGTTGATGTTGACCCACAGGACTTGAACACTATCACTTTTTAAATGATGGTGGACTCTTTGCAAACTAGCCTCATACTCTGTGAGGAGGAACTCAGTTCTGCAGCAGATGTCATTGCTCTTAAAAGTTGACAGCTTTCTTTGGGCCACGTCTGGACCACAGTTCTCTTTGACATTTGGATGTAGAAGTATATACTTTTCTATTTTATGTGTGTCATTTGATTTCCCCCACCCCAGCTATAAGTAACAGGGGATCTACCCACACACAAGTGGCTTAAATGGTTCAGTCTAAAAAAAAAAAGCCACACAGTCCCAAGGCTCCCATTGAGAAAAGGCGTCTCCGCGCTCTGTCCCATTGTCATGAGCCTCTTGTGTTTTCACTAACGCTTTCCGATGGCTGTTGCTTCTTCATGGGATCCCATCTGGACGCGAGCAGAGAGAAGGGCTTCTCGGCTCTTGGAGTGAGGGCCTGCGAGAGCTCTGTGATCGTTATCAGTGACAGTCATTGATAAAGGGGCGTGAGGTTTCTCCAGCGGGCTTGGTGCAGGCACGAGCTTGTCACCTGAGCTGGAGCCAGGCTGCTCTCCCTGCGCACACAGCCACCAAGAAGTCCATGACGTGAGTGCAGTCAGCCAGGCCGCTGTTGGGGACCAGCCATGAGGAGGCAACAACAGGGGGCCTGCCCTCGTGTGCGCCCGGCCATGCACACGGCCAGGAGAACAGGCTTACAGAGACCGAGAAGTCGTTTCATTTCTTGCATGTTCAGTTCACTAAAACTCTTCCTGAACTGTATTCTAGAAAATGTGCTGAAAGATGGCCTCTTCTTACCCTCTCGTGACCAAAAATGTTACGTTTCACTTCACAGCAACCAATGGCCATTCAGAATGTTTACGGCTCTTAGTAGGAAATGCAGAGCCACAGAATGCAGTAGACATTCAAGATGGAAATGGACAGTAAGTTTTAAGAATTTTAAATTCAATTTAGAGTATTTGTTGCTCATCATACTTCTGTCTGTTGGTGTGTCCTGGATTGTAATGATAATAATATACATAAAATAGTATACTCTTTAAGTAGAAAGTTGCATCTCACAAATGACGTTTCAGAATCGACTCCTACACTTCGTTGGGCGTAGAAGGGACTTTTGACCCTCATGTGTTGTTCCCAGGACTCCTCTGATGCTGTCTGTTCTCAATGGGCACACAGACTGTGTTTACTCCCTGCTCAACAAAGGAGCCAACGTAGATGCCAAAGATAAGTGGGGGAGGACAGCGCTGCATCGAGGGGTAAGCCCAGAGGTCTCCCTCCCTTCCCAGAAGCTATGGCTTCCTGTTACCCTGAACTTAGGTTTGCCAGAGATGATGAGAATGGTAAAGGGCAGGGCAGGGCTCAGGTGTGAGGGCGGTACAGGACAGGGCAGGGTCCACTGTTTAAAGGGTCACTATGAATTGTAGTTGACCCAGCGCCACCTAAAATCATTACCCTGTGTTGATCTAGTATATGTCACTTTTTTTCCATTTGATTTTTATCACATACTTTTTTCTGAATGTTTGTTTCTTTTTTAATCTATTTTAATTTTTTAACCCTTACTTTTGACAGTGATAACAGGAAAATGTTCAACTTTAAAATACTGAGTAAAATTCCTCTCTTTTGTTTGTTTTTCATTGTTTCAGTTTGCTTCTAAAGTACATTTTTAATAAAAATACAATTATAAAGAAGTTAGACATGGCCTTAGTTTGTAGGGGTGCCAGAAATACGGGAATTTTAAAAACGTTTCTAACTACCCACACTTGACATCCAGATCCCTGGGATATATACTCCATTATGTGTTTGCTGTCTGTCTATCAGAAGGTTGACAGTTCAAACCCCCGAGCCACTGTGCAGAAGGATTATGAAGCCCACTGCTCATCTTTGAGATTTACAGTCTCTGAACCCTGATGGGGGTCCCAAGTCAGAGTGGGCTCAGCGGGGGCTGCGGTGGGCGTAGAGAGTCTGCCGTGCTGTATCTGCTCCCTTTTCTCCTTCAGGCAGTTACTGGCCACGAGGAGTGTGTGGATGCGTTGCTTCAGCACGGTGCTAAGTGTTTACTTCGAGACAGCAGAGGCCGAACGCCGATCCACTTGTCAGCCGCCTGTGGACACATTGGAGTTCTCGGAGCGCTCCTGCAGTCGGCGGCAGCCATGGATGCAGACCCGGCCACAGCGGACAGTCATGGCTACACAGCGCTGCACTGGGCGTGCTACAACGGTGAAGTACCCCGCCACGCCCGCCTTCCCGATGCAGCATTGCCCCTAGGCCACGGCCCGCCTTCGGTGCTGTCCTAGGCCTGTGTGCGTGATGCGGGTGGCCTTTCTGTAAGGCGTCCTCACGTGGAAGATTAGTAGGGAACGTAATCCTCTGTGAGTGTCTCACTCTTGTCCCTTGTCATGCTAGAGCTAAGACCCTGCTGTCAGGCCACTGCCCCATGACTCCGAAACCTCGTTCTCAACCCCGCAGCTTCAGCTTTTTCCATTTATGATGTGTCTCCCATGTAGCGTGTGTGTTGTAGTGATCTTCCCAAGTGCATTGTTCCGGGAAAAAGGTAGAGAGGAAGTGATGGCCCCGTTATCATTTACCCAGTGTCTGTCAGTAGGTCCTGTTGGTGTCAGCATTGACATTCAGACTTGGAGCTTTCTAAACAATGAACTCTGTGTTAATCAAGAAGTAGAATCTTCCATGAGTTCTTGTGCTGTGTGATTAGAACAGTCTTCTGTTTAGCTTCCTGGAGTCACAAGATTGCCACTAGATTCACAAGCAGTCAGTTGGGAGCACAGAGCTGTTGAAGTGCGTCTCTGCTTGTGAGGTGACTGTGGCGTGGCAGTGCAGTGTGGGGGTGGCTCGTCTTGTGTCGGCCGCCAACTCTCTGTAGACAGCACCGCACACGCGTTCTCAGTGGTGGGAGCAGCGGGCCCGGCAGGGTGAAGTCCAGCTGGTGGCCGCAAAGTGAGGGGTTTCATTTGTTCTGTATTTCAGTGTTGCATTGACACTAATGTTACTTGTGGAAGCACATCTACAAAGCTGTGGTTCACTTTGCTTCAGAATGTAGACAAATACATGAATGGCCCCTTTGTGTAAATATCTACTTGATAAAATAATACTGTGTCTACAGCTTGTCAGCACATTGAAGTCAGTGTCGCTTCTGAGTCACTGCAACCATTCTGACAGGTGATGGAGGGTGTTCATACCGATGAAGTGTGAACCTTACAAGTCTCCGGACTTAGTCTCCACCTGGGGCGTTTTTCTTTTCTCCCTCACCTTTGTGCCAGAGTAGAGTCCTGTTGCTTTGCTGTGGGTCGCTGTGCCCTGCTCTGAGGACGTTCCCGTGCTTTCTCTTGCGCCCGTGAGGAGTGGTCTGGTGAGGCTTGCTTCTCCTCCCACGGCCTCAGAGCCTTGCCCGGAAGAGTCTGAAAACTAGAGAGCCTTTGAGTTTGGATAGTGCTTTTCATTTCTCACCTAACTGGGTGGTATTTCATGAGCACGGTGGCTTGGTGCACATTTTGAGTCGCTCCTTTATTTTTGTCATTGCATTTGTTTTAACTCTGCCCCTGACACTGCCCCTGATCTGGTGGCCTACTTGAACTGTCTCATACGGTGATGACGCCCCCAGTGAGGTCAACATGGTGATTTAAGAAGCTGGTGAGATAAAACTGTTTAGAAATTAAGACTTGCATTACTTGATTTTTAAAATTCTTAATACAGCAATACGAATTAACTGTCAAAAAAGCCATCCATTGTGGTAGTCCTTCAGACAGGACAGAGGCTGTGCCTGTTTGTCGTTCGTAGACCTCTGACTGTCCGCTGGAGAGTTTCCTGTCTTGTCATCTGGGTACGAAAAGTTCTGAAGGGACTTGCAGCTCCATCAGAGCTGAATGTCGACCTCTCAGCATGTTCTGCACAAGAGACAGAATTCTGCCTGAACTACATGCCTGCTCTCCATTTAGAGAACAGCAGATGTGTGTCATTGCCAGACTACCAGAACTGCGGTGATTTCTGAGTTGAGCCGAAGTACACGTTGTCTTTGCAGTAAGAGGCCAGCGGGCTGTTGAGGGAATACCAGACTTAGAGCTCACAGCCCGTGTTAGCGTGTGGAATGGTAAACGCAGGATATGTGACATTGTACAGCTGGAAATAAAATGAGAAACACACCCACAGAACAGAAAAGATCTGAAAGTTAACGAGAGCGTAGGGCCTGGTTTTAGGAGAGAGCCGGCCGCACAAGCTTTGCTGCACACACGTCACTTCCAGTCCTGCCTCTCTGCGTATTCGGTGGCTTGGTTACAGAGTTGGGCGGGCTTGTCTCACCTCAGTTGTTCATTCATGAAATGTAATCGTTTCGCTGAAGCTTTGGGCCTCTTGGCCTCCTGTGAGAATCCCTCAGAAGCTCACACAGACTAGCTTTGCTGTTTTACCTTTCATAAACCAGGTGACAAGAGTGTTGAACGTGTCACTCTGACATCTAGTAATGACAGCTGGAGACATACAGGCAGCCTGAGACGTCTTTTCTCCGTCTGTCTGTCCCTCCCCTGCTAAGGTCATGGTCCCAAAGAGCTTTTGTTTGATATCAGTGTATGTGTGGATATTGTTTTAGAAATCAGAACTGAGTCTTTTTCATACTCATTTCTATGAAAATAGTATTTATTCCTTCACGTGTGTATGTCTGTCTGTCTCTGCGCTTTAGAAATGTGTGTGTCCACGTGTGGCTCTGAGCCCTTCACACGGGGTGGGGGGAGGTTGTGCATGCGTGCTGTTGGGAACATAGTGTGCGCGTGTATCTCTGAGCCGTAGCGGCACAGTCCTTAGACTCTGCACCGAGGCAGCACCTCCCAAGGTTGGTTCACGTCCCCCTAACCCCAGCCCTCCCCCAGCGGCTCCTCAGCAGAAGACAGGGCAGGTGGCAGTCGGTTCCTGTGCCACGGTAGTGAGTGTGGTGGATCTGCAGTCTCTCCTGGGCAGGGTCCTGGAGAAATGAGAGCTGCGGCACAGGCTGGTTTGCTCGCCCTGTGTCTGCTGCAGCACTGACAGTGTCCAGTGCCTGGCAGAACTTGGGCACGTTCATAGTGCTGCACGTCACCAAACACCAAACTGAAGATGGTGCGCTGTCCGGAGTGACCCAGAACTAACTATGCTCAGTCCGTCACCAAAGGACAGTTACGGTCTAAGAACGCGAAAGCTAATGTCCGCAGGCTCACTCCTGGGTGCCTAACAGATGAGAAGGAGCAGATATGGAAGCAGAGATTAACAGGGAAGATGATTGAGTCGCCTGACTAGATGTCAGCCCTGTGTCCCTAATGGGAGCAGGAGGGGCACCCACTTCTTTTTTTTTTTT